CGTTAAAACGGCGACAATTCCCGTTTTTGAGCGTTAAAACGCACTATTATTCTAGAACTTAAAAATAATACGTTTTAACGCTCCAAAATTGGAGTTTTCGCCGTTTTAACGCCCATAAAGTTACAAAAAACGCCAACAGACGCGTTTTCGTGCGTTCTTTTAATGAGCGTTAATGGCTTACAATCGCGGTTCCCGATTGTGCGTTTAAACGCGTTTTTCAAAATTTTTGTCTGACTGGGTAGTAAATAATAGAAAACCCTACAATGAATGGTTTGGTTTTTCGGGCTTTCGTCCTTGAGATATCGACATTTTACTGGGATAACTGCAACTCCCCCTTAGGTCAAGTGGGAAATTGACTTTCGAGTTTTTCTTCATTTTGACATAAGTCCTGCATAAGGTCGAATAAATGTAATTATCTGACAAACACGTCTTCGTAATGGGTAACTTCTTTGGTGCAGTCAAGAGTCGTATGAAACAATCGTCTGTCTAACAAAAGAACCTCTTCAAGTGATATCTTCAGAAAAACTCATTTAACTTCGGAAGACCAACCTGAAGGTATAAATCAGTGTAGGATCTTCATCTAAACTATGAATCACCAATATAAGCTGACATAAAGGGTATTATCGTACACTTCTTTATGCATCTGTCTACAGAAGCTTTTAGTATACGAGAAAACGCATGTTTTCTAGACGATGAATGACTTTTTTCAATCCTACTAATTGAAGTTATAAAGAACATTTTGTTTTCTATAAATTTACTTTAGCTATACGATAATAATTATGACGATCCGAACGTAATTTTTCCATATCACTTTCAATAAGTTGTAAACGTTTTCGTTGTTCATTATAATCTTTATTTAATTGTGCCGCACGTTTTGTACATTCGGCTATTTCACGTTCTTGAAATTCAATTTTTTTCTTATGATCTAATAAACGATCTTTTATATCAGCAATTTCATGTTGAAGATCTTCAATAATCTAAATGAATTCAAATAGAATTTTTTTAACAATAATTCAACTATATACTTTTCGATATTTTTTCTCATTTTTTTGACATTTTTGTAAAGCATCTTCTAAAGCAGAAACTTCTTGGTTAATTTGTTCAACATGACCAGCTGTATCACGAGATCGTTCAAATTCAAGCATTGTTTGAATTTTTGTTTTTTGATTTTCAAATTCTAAACGTTCTTGTGCTCGTTTTTCAGCTGCTTGTAATTCTCGATCTTCGTATACACTTTAAAAAGAAAACATAATAATATTAATAAAACAAAATATTTATATTACCGAATATTTGCCACACGAATTTGTTTACAAAATTCAGTAAATACAGCATCTTCGATTTTATTTTTTTCTATACGTAATTTTGATATAAGTTTTTCTCGTTCATCAATGGATGCTTGTAAAGCGTTGATTCTCGGCTAAAATTATACATTTTAATAAAAATCTATATGTGAAACAACATCAAAAGGTCTATCAATTATTGTTTGCACTGAAGGATATAGAATGCAGATCATAGGAAGATAAAATCGTATTACAGCTAATAACGTAGCATTTTATGTAATTATGTTTCGCACTTGATGTACTTAGCTAGATATTTTTACTCGTTAGATTACTTAAAAATAGATTTTTTTTCAATAGAACTCCGTAGTCGTCCTTAGGTCATGTTGAAAGATAAATTTTGACTGGAAACTACAAAAAAAAAATGTTATCAATGAAATTCGAAATCATAAGAACGAAGCTTTGGGAGAGTCAAATCATTGTAGACTTTTTCAATGCTCATCGAATGAACATTGTCTTGATCCAAAAACGATTTAGCATCTGAAGAGGCTTCCTCACGAATAATCAATAGCTCCCGATAAGAACTCCAAAGTTACAAAATTATCTATGGATTATGTTTAGAACCAAACAATCGATGTAGAAATCTAAACATATAGATATTTGATTTGGAACTCAATATCTCAATAAGGACTTAAATTCTCATTTTTGCACATCCACAAAAGTTAGTTGATCACATGTTCTATTCGATAGTAAATTTCTCGAAGTGAGAAATACCTAGTAAACATATAATGCTAAATAACTATTTACTGTCTAATGAATATAAATAGACCTTCAATATAGAAACATACTTCATATTGAGCAAGTTTTGCTTGAAAATCAACAAGATCTTTTTCCATTAAAATTCTAAGTTTTTTTTCTGCTGTATCTTTATCTGTTTTTGAATAACGTAAACGACTTTCAAGTTGTTGTAATTGTGCACTAAAATAAAAATATTTAATAAGTTTATTTATTTTGTTAATTTTCTACTAACCGTGCATTAATTAATTCCGCTTCACGTCTTTTTTTCTTTTGTTGTTCTTTATATTCATCAAATAATTTATCTTTACGTATACGTAATGCATCAAGATGTTTTTCATCCCAACGTTTAGCACGAGCTTTTAATTCACTATAAAAAAAAAAAAAAAACAAAAATAGAAAATTAATGCAAATCAAACGAAGAAATTTTCTATTGTTACCTTGATCCACCTGATATAACACCTGATTTACTAAAAAGTGTTCCATTTAATGAAACAACTTTATATTTTTGATTTCCACTTTCATATGCAAGTTTTCGAGCATCATCATCATTATCACAAACAAGTGCATTACCACATGCATAAAGTAATGCTTTATAATATTGTTTATCATATTTAATAACATCAAGTATAAGTTTAACATTTTTTGGTTCTTGTAATTCTCTAATAAGAAAAACAAAAATAAGTTTATTTTTAATTAATAAAAAACAAACAAACCGAAGTTGTTCATTAATTGGTGTTACTTTAATATAATCAAGTGGTAAAAATGTTTCAGGTTCATAACGATGTTCTTTCATATAACGTAAACATGATTGAACTGTTGTTTCACGTTCAACAACAATTGAATCCATATTACGACCAAGAACTTTTGTTATTGCCATTTGAAAACGTTTATGAGTTGGTTCACATAGATCAACCAAACGACCATACTGAAAAATAATTATAGTTCTCAATCGTTACATATCAAGTTCAGACTTTCCGATTAGGGGCGAGGGGGATGGATGGTGCTATTCCCTCCTAAAATTGTGTCTGTCGGCGGAAATTTTTAATACTGTCTGACAATATTTTACGATTACTGGGAGAAATTACTGATTGTATAAGAGCCCGAGGGGGAGTACGGTACGACCTAGTGAAAATTGGGATCGTTTCTTCTCCCCCACCTCCCCGCCACTCTTAAAAACAATCGACAATCCTGATCAAGTTTATGTTAAGGATGAATCAACCTTGAAAAATCTCCTGACAACATTAAATGAAATATATATCTATGGATAGAATAGCTTTTCACACAAGAAATACGAAAAGAGACTATCGCTAACGCTTATCTTCTTTGATTAGATATATATGTAGAATGAAAACTTTTTTTATTTTCGCCACAGAACTAAATACAAAAAAAATATTGTTAGAGTTCGTCAGTATTATCTAAGGGAAATATCTGTTGAAATATTATAGGCCAAAATGATAAATTGATTATATATTGAGTTTTAGATCTATTGTAGGAAAGT